CTTTTGTGTCTGGGAAGGTACAAGCCGGATTCAGATTCAAGAAACTGTTCCAATTTAACTTTCTTATTCTTTCTCTTATGGTTTGTTGGCCGTGTGACACAGAGATGACCAAGCACCAAAAGCGTCCTTCTTTCAAATTAAACAAAAGCCTCAAATAACAAGGGCCATTTCTTCAAGCGAGAAAAACCTCGCCCGAGGCGTCAGATTTCCTGCCTAGTGAATGCCTTTGAGAGTTTAATCAACCGTTCGTTCCCTCACTATTAAACAGGGAGTGCTCATGGCAGTACACAATTTCACAGATAGGCTGTGACATGTTTGAGTGCACATCATGGAGCCTTTGTATATGTCTAAAAGTTGAAAAGCAATTATAATAGAGTGCCGCGGTTCACTCTTTCTATTGTTCAGCTCGGTTTGAGCAGGTACAGCCTGTTCAGGTAGCATCTTAAACAAGGTCTCTCCACTGGCCCACGCTATATTTATAATGAGTGTACTGTGGTGTGGTATCTGAGAAATGGAAGAAAACCAGATCTTGGGGACAGTGACAGGGGTTTGGCAAAAGAGTGCTCTACGGTGAAAGCCATTCTCTTCACACTGGGCTAAATGCTGGTGCCCTGGCTGATGAGCAATGATGTACCAAACAGTTAAAGTCAGATACAGTTAAAGAGAGTGACTTCATGCCTAAGTGTTATATTTAAAAGTATGTGCTTTTAACTCTACAAAAAACAAGGCAAGATCAATTGCATGGTATCATTTGATATAACACCTTTCCAAATTTGAAGAAGATAGATTTGGATCATGTCTGCAGACTCTCATTTTACAACATTTAGTCATGTACACAATCATGTCAACTGTATCTGTGTCAAAATCATGTTCATAGCTCAAACCAATCAAAAGTTATGGCTTTTGGACATGTGGTAGCCATCAGAGTCCAAAAACATAAAGTGATTTACTGAACATAAGAACTACTGTTCTTTTTTATGTGTAAACAGCACAGTAAACCAAAAAAAAAGTGCTGTCTCAGTCTTCTATGGGGAATCTGAGTGAGCAGTCTAATGCAAGTGTGCCCCACCTGTAAAACTGATTGGTCTCTACACATCATCCCTATATGCCATACCTGAGACTTGGTTTCCATTGGTTAAACTTCCCAACATTGTCAAATGATGTCCAGTAGCTTTAGTCTTAAGTGGCATGTTACTGTGGACTATCTCAAGATTGTGTTATGTTATGTGAATTGTTTGAGTTGAGATCACCTGCTCTAACGAAATTTGCAAAGTTACAAACCAAAATGTGGTGCAATACATCATGAACATACTGTTTACATGTACATCTGTGGTGCTTTTTCATACAAAACCTCGGTATAGTTTGATCTCTAACTGAGAGATCTCTAACGACGTGTCTCCACTTCCATCCGCCTTAGAAAAGTGAAGCCAAAACATCTCAGTAAGGCCACCATCATCTTGTGAAAATGATGTCATTTGGAGCATAAGTTTGCAGAGTAGTGATGCATTTGGAACCAGAGTCTGCACAGTACTGATCTTAAGGTGGAGCTGTGGTCTCAAAGTCCCGTCCAACCTCCCGCAGACCCAATCACAAGCTCACAATCATGACACCCCACCCTGTTTATATAGCATTAAATAACTAACTAAAAGCAAATTTATTAGAAAAACAAACACCTGAGCATACATTAGCATGACTAAAAACTACCTAAAATAATGAAAAACAACTTTGTGAAAAATGTATTTGAAGTGTAGCTTGATTATTTAGTTTGGCTCACGTCCCATTTGTTTACATGGAGAGGGCGGGGTATTTGACCTATATTGCAGCCAGCCACCAGATGACGATCAAAATGTTTTGGCTTCATTTTTTAGGTCATGTGCGGCACACTTGGTTTAGATATTTTCAACGATATTTGACACAGATTACATTTTCAAATAAAGAAGTATTTTTATCACATTATGAAAATGGCAGCAAATTTAAAAGCGCTTTTTAAAGTTAGACATATTCTATTGTAATGACTTGTATCATTTATTTATTCATTATTAATTTGTAATTAGAGGGAATTAATGATTATTACTTTATTCATTTTGCTAGAACTCGGGTCTGAATGTCCCAAATCCAATATCCACTGCAAAGATGAGCTTCTAAGCATCAAAAGCAAGTGGTTCCATAAGACTCAATAGCTGCTTCAGTCAGTTTAGTGTGTGGGTTATTTACTTGAGAATTGCTTCGACTGATTCAGTAAAAGTAGTTCACTAACTTCAACCAATTCAATAAAGTAGTTGTGTGTTCCCTCGCTAACTATTACAACCAATTCATTCAGTGAGAGAGCTGTTAACTCGAGAACCACATGACTGATTCAACGAGTGAGTTATTGATTAAAAAAGGCTTTGAGTGATTCAAAATTTCAAGCTCAATAACTGCTTTCCCCAGTTCAGTGAGTGAATTTTTAACTCAAAAACTGCTGACTGGTTCTGTAAGTATGTGAGTTTATTAGTCAAGAATTGTTTCCATTGATCAGTCAGTGAATAAGTTGTTGACCGATTCAGTGAGTTCATTTTGACAAAACCCAACTCCTCATTTCTTATTCAGGCAGATTTACGAACAAGTCATTCAACCCGACTTGCAAACCCACTTAATCACGATTAATCACAATTTATCATTATCACAAGCCATTTATGCATTTACAATAGAGTTATTTTTAGCTGTCTCCAGTCACAAATGTAGTACAGAGATCTAATAGCTATCTAACAGCACCAAAGTACATCTACTTACTACACACAAAAAATGCAGGTATATACAGTACTCTACAGTAGGCTGTTATTTATTATGCACTCCATATGTGAGAAAGAACAGTGTGCTAGATGTAGGAAGGGAATAATTACTGGTGCCCACACACTTTTATATGCTTCTGTAATATTCATCTCTAAAACTTTTGTGAGGCCACTTTTGTATCAGCTGTGAGACCACACTGAGCTGTTTATCAGCAACTGCAAATTTACGCAGTGAACAAAAGTTGTGAGTTTTAAATGGTGCCAGCTGAGAATTACTGTAGTGTATGACTGTAGTGTATGTGAAGAAGATGTTGTATCTATCTGTCTGCGGTGCTGCGCAGCTTGTCGGAGGCAGCTTGTAGTCTCAGTATGGGGCAACATTGAGTGTTTTATGATTTAGCAGCTTGATAATGTCACAGAAATCAGTCATCTCAGAAGCGCTCTGTGATCCGTCAGCCTCACCGGGAGAACAGCAGCCCTGCGTACCCCCCGTGAGCTCTTCTGCATTACAATTCCATGACAACCTGAAGAGTGCGGGTTAGACAGAGAGGACACATCTCACTGACAATTACTCTGTCCTCACGGTGTGGCGTAGGGAGCGGCACACACCTCATTTAAGTGACGGCTCTGTTCTGGCTCCCCTGTCGTCTTCTGGATGACCCCTAAACCGATGGAGTGTGGTGATCCGGAAAAAGTTGGCGGTAATGACTGCATCATCTCGAATAAGACAGTTCCTGTGACCCCATTCTGACCCAATCAGACTAATTCATCTGTTCCCACTGAACCACGAATGCATTGTTAAACACTTCCTGATAACCAAGTACTACATAATCTTGATAACCTCTTCAATTGTTTGGTGACTTTGGTGAATCTATTGGCTAAAAGCAAGTCTATTAAATAAAAAAATAAATAATAATAACAATAAATACATACTTACATAAATTCAAGGTTACTGAGCTCAAATCTGGTTACTCAGCTTAAATTTGGTCTCAGCTCAAGTCCAGGCTTGCTTAGTCTACCCACATTTCCATTCATTTTTGATGTTTTCTATACAACCATTCACAGATATTGCTGCACTGTTTTTTGAATGCATACATTTATCTTCCAATCTATTGCTCATTTTAGATTCACCTGCTTCCAAACAACATAAAAACACAGACATGGCTGTTTTATATGTCTGTCAGACGTCTCTTCCTCTCTAAGTGGGCAGAAAAAGGGGCAAAATGGACATGCAAGTCAGAACTCTGGCTTTGTGAGAAATAGCTATTGATCATCTTTAACCAAATACAAACCATGTAAAACTAGCCAAGCAACCACCTTAATCTGGCTTTACCTGAACTGTTTGGTTAACGGGTCCTGTGTGAAAAACACTTGATCCAAAGTGCGAACAGATGTCCTTCAAATAACCTAAACAGTCAACAGCTGCAGAATAATTTGTTTCTGAAGTTACAACAAATAGATTCATATACGACGAACCAACAGGAACCCTGACATAACTTATTTAATTTGTAAAGGTCTCTTTTATAATGCAGCTTTCTTGTTCACTTGTGAAATATATATATTTCTCCCAGTGACAACAGCATCCATCAGTTGTCAGGCTGACGGAAGGCTGGGAATTTGGGAAGTGCAGCGATGTTTCAATGATCCCTGTTCAATTTCTGTTTGGCTCGGGACCCCGTCAACTCTAACTGAATAGAGACACGATTCATTTGTGAGATGTCTAGGTCGCTTTCAATGTTACACAAGACTCCAACACACAGTCCTTGCTTGTTAGGCCCCAGAAACTCAAATCAGGTCCTAAATGCTGGTTAGTGCAGGTCTAGCATGTGGACCATCAAAACCCAACTGGAAAAGCTGTTGGACCAAGGTAGTCTTGAAAGTGTCGACCTTGCAGAGTCCAAAACACACTTTATTCGGTTGACTAGCAATGACCTTTGCAACAAGATGAGAAAAATGACTGTTGAGTGTGAGCAAACAGAGCTAGTCAAGTTAAGTCTGGCCTTATGATTGAACCGTGGCCCAAAGCTCAGAACAAAAAAGGCATATTTAAGTCAACTCATTATTTGAGCCACTCACTGTGAGGTCAAACTTCTAAAGGTAGTTAGAAGTAAAACAATAACTCATTCGCTCCAGTATGATGATAACACAGATCTGTGAGAGTGAGTTTGTAAGTGCTCAGCATGCGTCTGTGAATTGGCATGGGATTGTGTGATTCAGCCTCATTCTCACCTTCGCTCCTGTAGTCTTCCTGTGAGCTGAGGGCCGAGAATCTGTGTCTGGAGAACGGAGGCCAGTCCTGGCTAGACGATCCCACTCCATGGTTGTTCCTTAACCTCATCCTGGAGTTGAGTGAGGAGGATGAGGAACTGTCTGCTTTCATCCGCAGCACTGCAGTATATGACACAGGTCTCCCGGCAACGGCTCTAGCAAAATCTGAAAATAAGACAGAGAGGGCTGTTACATCTAACAATTTAGACTCATAATGCCAGGCTCTAAGATATACTTGCATGGATTGCTATTGCTCATGTTTAGGGTTAAGGATTTGAACAAACTTCTAGACCTACGGTACGTATTGAACTTTGGCACTTTACTGATTTCAGCAATGTTTTTGTTAAATAACTCTCACTGTACAAGTAAATTGTGTGTGATGTAAAGCCAAAGCTCATGATTTAGGTGCTCTCAATATACGGGTCCGATCGTCAAGCTGCAACTTGACTACTCAAATTACATATATGTGTAAAATAAACATGTGGCAACCCGGAACTGTGGAGCCTCCATCGCTCCCATCCATACCACACATCGTGTCACCATGGTTTAATTTCTGCTTTTGCGTAGGCACAAAGAGGGAAAAAAATATTGAGTTTAGAGCAATCGGTTTGTTGCTCTGCTTCAACAGTGTGATACCCTCATGAGGGGCGACCAAAATGACTTACATGTCAGAACTTCATCTGATTGGCAGTCGTGGGAAGTTAATTGTCTCTCATTACAACAACACAACAAATGACACGCAACAACGTTGAAATTCAGCCCAACTAAAAATAAGAGTCGTACAACTCAGAAAAAAACTGCACAGTGGCTTAACTCATCCCACACATGTGCTACATACAGTACATGAAAGATTCCTCAAACCATGCGGTGTGCTAAGGAGTGTGTGAAAGCAGTCAGACTTGCAATTTTTATTTGGTGGACAAGACATAGATATAAAAATCCTACAGAAACTGAACGAGGGAATAAAATATCAGAATATCCAGAGATTTGAGCGTTGACTCATCATCAAATCTGGCATTGCTCTAGAAACATCTCAGAACATCTTAGTAATTAATTTCTTCTGAAAATGTAAATATCCAATTACTGCAGTAACAAACTCAGTCATTTTAGAATATTGACATTGTTTTATTACTTTTCCAAGTTTTGTTACCGTGTAATTATACAGTTAAGTACTGAGTAATATTAATTAACTACATGTATTTACTACATGGTTATGATTAGGGTTTGGCTTAGGGTTACTTGCGTGTAATTATGCATTGCAATTACAAATCTAATTTATTGGTATTATAATAGTAAGTTCATGTCATGTGTAACAAGCACGCGGTAAAAAAATAAAGTGTTACCATTTTTTTAAATAAATAAATTGAACTTCTGTAGTGTATTACATGTTTATATTTATATATAAAGTAATTAACAATTTTATTAATTTATTTATTCACTGGAACAACTGATCTGCCAGATAGGGTTCATTTATGCAAGTCTTTTTTTTTAATCTGAAAGACAAATGCGCAATTGAGAAACAAAGGAAAAGAAAGGTTGACAGTTTGACACCTTGTTCTTATGTTGTTGCTTTTTTCTCATCACTGGAAAATTAAAGTTGCAAAAAGTTATATGTGTCATGAACATTGCCATGTTCTATTGCAAATGCCACTCACACAGAGTGAAATTAATTCTCTATTATATCACGTCAATCAATGCTGTGGATTTACAATGGCTACAAATGATTCTAAATTGCCCATTTGTGTTAAAAACAGTGCCAAAAGAGGAAGGACTTATTGAATATCCTAATTAAATAGTCATTATACACCTGTTGAAATCTCCTCATTCTGCTGTTTGCCAATTAGAACTTCAGCAAAGTGACTAAGCTCCAGCGCACCAAGCCATCTGACTAAACTCACAGATGTGACGCTCAGTAATGAGAACAACCCCACAAATGACAACTTAAATGCATCATTCTTCGCATGGCACGGAATCGTTTATAGACCGTCTCGCCCGGAGAGAGGGGAAGTAACCTCTAGAAATTAAAGCCACCCAAATCATGGATCTGTGTTTGTGCAGAGAGGCACTTGAGGAAAAAAGTGAGCTGACATTTATGAGGTCCTAATTAAAGACAGGCCTTTTAATACTTGCAAAATATGACCTTTGCTGTCCTGAACCTTTAGAATATAGCTTCAAAACTGGAGACTGAGAACTACACTGAGGGCTCCTTTTCTCACATAAAAGAAAAAAAGTCTCAAATGTGCATGCAAGAAATGTTACTCCCAGCTTTCAGATGTTTAAAGAAGAGAGGAAACTGATCCAAAAATGGCAGACAGGTGTCTAGACAGTTGCTTACACAGAAATCAACAGAAAAAGCGTCCATATAGAAATAAATATAGGCAGTTACCAAATTTGATGGATAGAAAGATGAATAGATGGATGGCTGGCTGAATGCTTGATGGACAGGCAAGCGGTGAGAATTGTGTGAAAGAGACGGGCAGGAGAGGGAGGAGTAGAAAAATCCAGACAGACAGATCCAGCACTTTACATCCATGTGAAAGAGGATCTCATGGGCTTGTTACTATGTTGGGAGCTTTAAATCGTAGCATATGAAATGCACTTGATTAAACATTCATGGAATACCTTTACAAACTTCAACAGAAGCATGTAGGAAACAACATTCGATTTGACTGTTTCTGAGGTGATTTGTTGTGGAATTTGAACTTTTTAAGACCTGCTTGATTTCGTGGAATTAAGCTTTGACGTCGAAGACATTTTTAATTATGGATGGACTGTGCTTTTTTCGGGATCTGAGCAAAAAAAACCATCTTGGGATGACTAAGAAAAGGCAAGAAAATGGCTAAGGGATTTGAACAGCAGAAAACTGTGGGATAGTCACTCCTGTCGTGAGAGGGTGAATGTGAAAGTATCTGAACTGCTAAAAAAAAGGGGATTCGGATAGGACTAGTTTTCCTACTTTTGGTATTTTAATTGCATCTCAATTTCGCAAATCTATGGAATTTTACAGACTTTGTGTGAGAAGAGCAGAGCAAATTACCTACTGTTTTTCAGAACTCAATGGTTTTCTGAGAAAAGTTAATCCTATCCGAGTGTTAATGTCTGATATTGTATTACCTTTAACATTTCTGCTTGTGTGTTTTGATCTACCTGAGCTACCGTTTGCACACTAATCTTCCACATACTCTACTGTTCAATATTACAGAGGCTCTGAAGGGACATGGTGATGCTAAATTAAATAAGCTGAGAGGAAAATATATGTTTTAAAACGTTAGCATTCCCCTGAGAAACACAAATGTTTTACATCCGAACACAAAGTTTCTAAGGGGAATGCAATACTTTTGTGAAAGAACGCAAACGTTTTACAAGCAAATATAACGTTTCTCAGGGCAGTCTAATACGTTTGTCACAGTTTTGGTTAATTTGGACTGAGGCCATGTCCACACATACATGGATATTTCTATAAACTCAGTTTTTCCTTCATCCGTTAAAAAAAAAAAATCTCCGTCCACATGAAAACTCAAAAGCATGCTATGAAGCACTGTCAAGAGCATGCCAAGCCAACAGGTGGCGATATAATCTCAACCGTAAAACCATGTTGGCCAATCAGAAGCCTGAAAAAGTTTCCAGTAGGCGGAGATGTCACAAGCCAAATGTCACAAGCCAAAATCTCCGGTTTCGCTGTCTACACGATAACACTGCAACCAGAGTTTTTGAAAATCTTCAACCTGGCAGCAGTTTTCAAAAATGTTTGGTTTCAGTAACCTGGTGTGCGAACGGCCAAACCGCATAGAAAAAGCGGTGGTTTTAAAAATACCCGCGTTCGTGTGGACAGGGCCTGAGTTTGCACCGTTTTCTCTAAATTGTTGTTATGGTTTCTGATTGAAACCGCATAGAAAAAGCTGTGGTTTTGAAAATACCCGCGTTCGTGTGGACAGGGCCTGAGTTTGCACCGTTTGCATGGTTTCTGATTCAAGTTCGTCATTATGTTCAGGTGTGTCTTGTTAATTATCCTTGTTTTGTCTGTGTATTTAAGTTCCTGTCTGTTTAGTGTGAGTTTGTCAGGTATTGTCAACATCGATGTATATGTGTCTTTCCAGCCCTGCTTGTGTGGATTACCTTATGTGGCTTATATTAAAGACTGTTAAACCTTCACATTCATCTTTGTGCATGTTCATCTACACACCGTTTTTGAGAGAACACTCCCCCCCCCCATTACCATGTCCCCCTTAATAATAAAAAATAATAATAAAATTAAAAAAATTAAAAATTAACAGATAAATAAATAAATAATAAAAGCATGGCCCAATTGCGAAAACTGACTCAGCATCAGGCCTTTCTAGACTTTTCAACACTTATGTGGGTTTATTATAAGCAGCTACTTCTATAAACTCATGTTAAATTTATCCAAAATAAAATATCAATAAATATTTTAAAGAAAGACATATACATCATATATAATGCATGCAACCACATCTTATGACCTTCTGCAATGCCCACATAAAAAAAAAAACTCATTGTAAGACCTGTTTACAAAGACAGGTAGGATTTACAAAGACAGTTTATATTTAGGTTCTATTTCGGTTCTTTTTTCTCTAACATCCATGTTTTGCTTTCTGCAAAACGTCTCTTTCTATAATTCAACAACCCATTCGCCTTCTCTCTGGCTAACTTTTTTCTCTAGGGCGGAGCTACCGATCATCTCCGGATCAGCTGATCCGTGGATTGTCGTCTTCAATCCATTATTTAATTGGGTAAGATTTACGGCAACATATTTCTATTACATTTGTATGAACAATGTAACTTTCAATTTTATTTTATTGAAATAAAATTTTCTTGGACAACTAAGAATTTGGCTATTTATTTCCCTGCACTGTGGTTATCAATTACGCCTTACTTTGACCTGGGCTACATCATACTCCCACTTCTGTAATAAACACAGGGATGTTCCAGTCCGAATAGGGCTAAAGATGGAGGTGCCCAATCCTGTTCCTTAAGGTCCACCTTCCTGGTAAGGTCAGTTCCAACCCTAATCAAACAAACCTAAACAAGATTTTCAGAAACACTACATAACTGCAGATAGGTGTGTTGGAGAGAGGTTGGAACTGAACTCTGCAGGAAGGTAGTTCACCCAGAACTGGAATGGGCACCCAGTTCCAAGAAAT